AGCGGTGGAGCTAATTGCTCAAGCTTCTGCAGTAACCTTGGCTCTCTTGTGCTGCTTCCCTGTGCAGTGTTATAAGCATCTGTGCTGTTTGAAATCCTTTGTTTAAAAGGCACAGATACAATTGTAATCTTCACATCTTTTGAGTTGTATGTATTTGGACTTTCTTTTTTCACTCCTTCAATGTATCTTGATATATTTTAGTTAAAGCTGTGATCATGTAGAGAAGAACGAACTTCAGTGACTTTTGAAATACTCCTGTGTAACATGACTGTGTTGGAGTGCAGTTCCTGCCCTCTAAGATGTCTACCTTTTACAGAAATTATCCTAGCACTGCTCAAGTACATCATCATGTGGCCAAGGAGCAGACTTTCATGTGAATAGGGTAAAGAAGATGGCAGAGCTGAAATGCAGATACAGTAAACAGGTATTCCCAGGCTGTTTATAGAGTAATAGAGGAATAAAAGACTGCATAATAATCTCCATTTAGTTTTCCACCTGAAGGTGAGTCATGGGCTATAGTGAGAAGGAAGGGTTTAGAGAGCTTGGACCCAGGTGCTGGAATGATAACATGGTTGTGCCCCATGGGTTGTTCCACAGAGAGAATTGTCCCTAACTAAGCCATCAAGGTAGGGTGGCGGATACAGCAGGGGTGAGGTGTTAAGCATGTCTGCAGGTGGTGTGAGAGCTGCTGGAGCTGGCTCACCATGCTGTAGTGTGATGCAGACTAGTTAAATGTCTTCATGCAGGTTCTGCTGAGGAGTTCCTGCTCTTGTCATTTGTGTATTTGGTAGAAGGCAGGAGGTGAACAAATGAGGCGAATTCCACAAAATCCAGGTGTTTGCTAAGAAAACTCACAATGTAGATCATCTGCTGCGTTGTATTAACTAGAAGAGTGTTTTTCTGTATAAAACAGTTGCTAGAAGGAAAACTGTTGTAGTGCTGGGTTTTGGGCCCCTTTAAACAGCTCAGAATAAAAGTTATAAATCATAGAATGGTTTGGGCTGGAAGGGAACCTTTACAGGTCATCTAGTCCACCTCCCCTGCAAAGAGCAGGGACGTCTTCAACTAGACAAGGTTGCTCAGAGCCCTGTCCAGCCTGACCTAGAATGTTACCAGGGATGGGGCATCTACCACCTCTCTGGGCAACCTGTTCCAGTGTTTAACCACCCTCATCATAAAAAAAAATTCTTCCTTGTATTTTGTCTGAATCTACCCTCTTTTAATTTGAAACCATTACCCCTTGTCCTGTCAGTACCAGCCCTATTTAAGTCTGTCCCCATCTTTTTATGAGCCAGCTTTAAACACTGAAAGGCCACAATAAGGTCTCCCTGGAGTTGTCTCCTCTCCAGGCTAAAGAACCCCAGCTTGCTCAGCCTTTCCTCAAAGGAGGGGTGTTCCATGCTTCATTTCTGTAAATGGTCCAATGGATAGTGTAAATGATCAAATGGATACTGTACAGAAACTAGTGATGGTGACTTGCATGATACTTCATTTTGATCAAACTATCAATTATTTCAGCTTTTGAAAAGGCATATCCTCAGACAAATGTGCAGCTTGTCACATCAACTTTATGAAAGTACTTGAAAAATTATCTTTAATGTTAAATATGTAAATTATATATATCTATTTTTAAAAAAGTAAGTAAATGGGCTTTGTCTGTCTATCATCACTCCTATCATCTGTCGTGTCTGAACTGTTCTTTTCTTGGCATGCTGTGGGTCTGATGCCTTTTCTAGGAGCATGTTGTAAGTTACCTTTTCGAAGACCTAACTATTGGTAGAACTTTACAGAGATGGCTTATTGAAAGTGGCAGATACTAAGGAGCCTTGAAATCCTTTTACATAAATACTGACTCTCAAATTGTATCTTTTTCAAACATTGGAACGTACTGCGTTCCCAAGCTGTTTTATAGTAGCTGGTTGTCCCACTACTTATGAGTGCTTAATCTAGAGTTACATTATTTTCTTCAGTATTTTTAAAAAGCTCCAAGTATAAATTAACTCAGTTAAAAAGGCTGTGCCCAGTGTTGCTGAATAGATGGATGAAACTTTAAATGTAATGTGACTATTATAGCTGTAAGTGTCAGGATAAGTTGTTCTACAGTGTTTTGTTCTTAGCTGGGGGGAAGTTGTTAGCTGCTGCTGTGTTTGTTTTGTTTTGTTTTTCCTGAATGGATTTTGGTGCCAGGCACTTAAGCTGACCTTCAGAAGTGCACTGCATCGTGATGGAGAGCTCAGAAATAAAGATTAGTAAGGGTACCACGTGCTGGGTTTTTGACCTGCAGCCTGTCTGGGAAAGAGAAGAGGATGTCCCACCCAGTGGACTTTATTTAAGTATCCAAATGAGAGTAGGTGTGAAAAAAAAAAGATAAGTGTTCTGCTTGTTGGAGAGTCTGCTGAGCGCCCAGGCTACGGTCTTGCAGAGTAAAGCTGTACCTGCATCGGATCTTCTTCCTCAGTCTTACTGAATGCTAACAAGAGGTGAAGGAACTGCCAGTGTGAATGCCACAAATCCTGGGCTGTGCTGAGCCTTGTCCTTGACCTGAATGTGCTTTAATATTGCTAGGACAGAGAACAGCCTGTGTGTCCCCATCCCAAATTATGGGCATGCAAAGTGTCTTTAATCCATGAAGATATAGTGGAAGAATTAAAATGTGTAATGCTAATCAGCGTGGAAAGGTGTTCTGTGTCCTTTGCTTGAAGAAAAGGATTTTTAATGTCAATGGACTGAGTTTGTTGGATGGATAGGCTTTTTTCCCTGAAACACTGAAGCTTGCTTTCACTTGAAAGAAGAGGGAGGCTTAGGTCTGTTTTCCCTTTTGATACATACATTATGTTAACTAAGCGTTGTTAAAATACTGTGGATCCAGTCCACTTCTTGACATCTAGATGTAATCTTCCAGAAGCTGGTAGAGCTATTTCTGTTTGTGAGGGGGGGGAAAAAAAAAAAAGTGGCAGGTTTTTTGTGTACTTCTTATTTTGATGAGAGGAAGATTTATGTACATGTATTTTAAAACCAGATTAAAACAGGCAGTTAAAAAGATCTGAAAAACCTGAGTGTTAATTAATATTAAGAAATTTGGGATTAGATAGTATTTTTTATAATTTCAACCTCTGCTTTTTGTTACAGGTTACATCTTAAGTGTTGTGCTCCTGACTTTACCAAGACAACACCTGGTTCAGCTTTACCTGTACTTTTTGACTGCATTGCTGCTTTATGCTGGGCACCAAATTTCCAGGTAAGAATAAATGGGTTAATTTGGCTTGGGAATTAGAAAAATGATACTTTGTTAATATCTGATACAAATGGGACAGGTCTGGTTTTGTAGAGGCCTTTTTTCTATGCCAGACACCTAAATGTGTCTTGCTGTTCTTTGTCTTGGAAAAGTTTGCAGAGTTAAATATGCAGTTGGGCAGTTCTAGTGCATTTTCATTGACTTAAAAGGAATTTTGAGCTACATTTCTGTGGGGTGTAATGTCCATTAATCTGAGGAGAGAAAACACTTACCACAAGACTAGATGTGGCCTCTGATGCAGTGATCGGAGTTACTCAATAAATAGTTCAGCTAACATGCTTTCAACACTGGAGCATTCTACAAAGCAGACAGGACGCTGCTTCTAGTTTCCTGGCAGCCAGGATGAAAGGAAATAGAGATCTGGACGATGGTAAAAGTAGAGTAATAGGGGAATTTATTCTTAAATTAGTATTTGTTTGTGTAATATATTTTACAATTAAAACAAAAAGAAAGGCATTTTGGATCTAAAATGGAGATCAAGAGGCTGGAGAACTGAGTCAGTGAGACAAAGTCAGCCATCCTCGTTCATTTGGCTCCAGCTAAAGCTGTTGAAAGCCAATGTAAACTCTCAATACTAACAAGATATTTAATTGGAACTGAAGACAATGCCATCGCATTAATGGCTTTACATGGGAAATTTTGAAGATACAGACTAGGGCCTGATTTATTTTGATGCCTGCTGATGGGAAACATTTAAAAATGTGCTTTTGATTGATTTAAGTGAAATAATAGGTTTGTTATTTCTGCCTCAAAATTGTTGTTCCAAAGCATTTGCTGAAATATCTCTTACTCGGTATGTTGCAGTTCAGGGGAGTGGTAACGAAGGTTTTGTGGTGACTTGACATGTTGCTGTTGTGGCTGTCAGAGTTGCAGTTAATGATTTCCTAAATAGATGAAGGTGCAAGAGAGGAATTATGGCCTCTTATTTCCTGGGTAGGAAGAAAAAGAGGGTTTTTTTATCATCCTCAGGGGAGTCCTGAGTTTTTATAGATAGAATTTGTGGGTATTTCTCATAGGGTTGAAGTCTTACTTATTAGAAAAAGCAACCTAAACATTATTTAAGAACCTGTGTTGAAATAATAATGAAGCTAGTAACAAATACCTGTGAGCTACAGGGCTTTGGTCCAGAACATTTACAGCTAGAGATCTTTATGCCATTCTGGAAATTTTTTAAAAGAAAGAGAGGTGGTGTGGATTTTGGTTGATACATTAAGGGACAGTACTGTGTTTGATTTTAATACCTGTTTTGTTTGTGTTTCTGTGTAATGTGAATTGTGACTTCTGTTGCTTTGAGAGGTTTGAGACTGCAGGATTCGTTGGTAACTATTGCTTGGACTGTTTGGCATATTCGTACTAAGCTTTCTCTATTTGATGCTTCTAGAGTGAGATAATAAAAACTTTAATTAAATCTTGCATCAACTGGCACAAAAAATATATTTAATTAAAAGATGTCTTGGATTCAAATAGTCCAGTAGTATTCCCTAGCTACTTTGTAAAGCAAATGTAGTTGCTAACAATTTTGAGTGAGCTTATCCACTCCCTGGATATGAGACTGACTTGGTTTGGAAGGAAGCGCTGTGCAAGGGGTTCTCAGCAGCAGCCTTTGTGTAATGTGGGGAGTGACACTTGCATTAGCTTTTCAAAAGAATTTTTGTATCTCCTTAATTTTCACATTGAAAATAATAAACTGTAACACAGATATAATGTTAATGGTGCTATTCCTTTTATTGACAAAATATTATAGCCAATTCCAACTGATGTTTCTGTTTAGCATAGTAAAATATTTCTGTTTTACTGATCCTAAGAAGACATACAGTAGTCACATGTACAAACTGTTCCTGAGTGTTAAAAATTCTGCTTAGAGATGAAAACTTCCAGGGAATTGCTTGCATGCACTGCCAGTTGGGAAGCTATTTGAGACAGATGAAGAGGTCTCATATTGAGGCCAGTTTGGTTAATGCAAATTATAGAACAAGACCAGAATCAGCTGGCACTTGTGACTCTGCAGTGTCCTGGAAATTCTGAGCTGTTGAAAGATTTCAGCTTTCAGAGCTTTTTTTCCACCCCAGAAATAGCTTGCAGTTCAGCTGCAAGTCTGGGAATAAGATGATCTGAATTGTATAGTTAAGCTCTGGCTTCAGACTTCCAGGTCTATGTGACCTTGACAAGTCACCTAAGTGTTTACTTCCTTCTCTGCAAGACTGAAAATTACCTTAATGTGTAAAGATTGTTTACCTAATGTTCATGAACACTTGGGAGAGTCCAAAAACATGCTACATTTATATGTACATGTTAACCTGGCAATTTGGGTGGAGTTAATACACCACCTGTTTATGGAAAAAGGAGAAGTCAGCTTTAAAAAACCAAAATTCTGCTGCTGCTGACAAGGAAAATAGACGCTGGCTTTATTTTCTATGTAGCTGCACAAATGTCTTGCTTAAAAGGATCAAATTTCTTTTCCCCATTTCTAGCAATAAAACTTGGGAAAAGAAATGATTCAGTTATGCAGAAAAGAAATTATGCAATTAAACACCCTGTTAATGCTAAACTGAATCTACATCATCATCTTATTTCATGTTTTGCAGTTTTGTTACGATTGTGTTCCAAGTGTTCAGCCTCGCAGAGCTTAGAATGAGAAGATGGGGGGAGTAAGAGAGTGAATTGTTTCTTATGAATAATCGTAAAATACACTTAATTTTAAGGCTGTCTGTAGACGTTTAAAACCTAGGAGAGTGTTTGATGTTGACAGTGGAGATTAATCAGCCAAAGTAAATGTCAGCAATAGGAGTCAATTAGGTCAGATAACCACTGTGCCTTATGTCTGACAGTTACACAGCATATCTTTAATAACAGAAAACCTTTGTGCACTTTCAGTAACAAACAGTGCTTCACACATGACCATTGTATCTCTTTACCTTTTTAGAGCAATGTTAGTCATGGCTGTCCGTGAGTATATGTTAACAGTCCAGCAGTTGATTAAATGAGGCTGGGAATGCCTGCACAGAATGAACACCAGGCAATCTGATCTCAGCTTCATTCTTATATCCTATTTTTCTAAAGTAATAATGTTGTTTCAGTCATTTCATTAACTACTAAGTAATGATTTTAGCATTCTTGTTTCCTCACATTGCTGCAGTAAAGTGAACAATTCTCAAATGTAAAAGCTGCAGCTTAATACAGCTCTAATTGATCGAAATTGAGTGCAGGCACTTGCTCTTTTCTCAGCATCTTGTATGGCACTGCAGCTGTTCAAGGCATCTTCTGATTGGTGTCTGTGCCAAAAGATCCTTGTGTTTGTGCTGGTAATAAGAGAATCATTGCTTTGACTTTCCTTATTCAGACATCATCTACAAATACTGTTTAAAAAATTTAGGAGATCTTAAAACATTGCTTCTCCAAGCTGGTAGGGCTAAAACTCAATTAATGAGAGTTGCTTAAAGAGGGAAGCCAAGTACAGACCTCTGTGCAGGTGACTGAATTGGATAGTGGCAAGAAATGTGGCTTGAAAGGGTTTGGGTCAACTCCAGGCACGTTCTTGGTGTTGAAAAAGTGACTGTAAGTGCAGCTTTGTTGCTATGTCTTAGCTAAGTTGTCTAAGGTCGTCTTGCTGCAGTTTGTATCCTGGGTGATTTTGTAACCTGTTTCCTAACAGATAAAGAAAAAACTGTCTTCGCTGCTTTCCTTCTAGCAGTTTAGAAATAGTGTTTTCACCCTAAATTTGAGGATGAAGCATAATATCGCTAACACAAAGAGCCATCTTCAGCATATTGTAGATGGTGTTATTTTTCTCCCTTTGTAACTCTGATGGATTATCCTGTTTGTTGCTAGTGCTTTCAGAAAGTGCTTTTTACAGGTTCATGTGAAATAAAAAGTATACCCAACTTTATCCCAAAGATTACATCCATATGGATGTTGGAAGGTGGAAAAAAACCTCATGCTTAGCTATACTGTGATAAAAAGGGGGAAAGTTCTATCTAGAATCAGTTAGCTTAAGTGCCTTTTTAATCCTCATGTGTTTTTAATTGTAGGTTACAGTCTAAAGAACCCATTTCAACATACCTCGCATATACTATGACACTTGAAAAGCTGCAGTGAGTAGGCAGGGTTGTCAGCTATGAAGAACAGGCTTTGAAGTGTTTGTTTTAGTACTTTGAGATTTATGTCTTGAATTCCAGAGATTTTTTTTTTTTTGCGAATGAAAATGTGACTACTTCAGCTTGGGGTAGCAAGCTAATACTAGCTGTAGGGTACATTTCCACATTTCCGGGGAGAAGTGAATGCTTCCAGTAGCACTGAGTTGCATTTTTTTTTTTTTCCTGCCCTGAAATAAAAAGAGCAATTATTGTGTTGGTTGTGGTTTGCGGTACTGTTTGCCTTGCTTTGACTGCATCTGTTCCCAGCAAGCGTGGCTTGCCTCACTGATATAAATAAATGCTTAATAAATGAAGTGCTGTGCCCCTCGAGCAAACAGACTCTGCCAGCTCCGTGTGGGGTCAGATCAAGTGTCTGTCTGGCATTCCCAGGACATGATGCAGCCAGACATGAATGACTGGACAGTATCAGCCAGATACCAGCACAGAATTAGTTGTGCTGCTGATGGCAGAGTTGATAGTGTCAGAACAGGGGTGGAGCAGCAGCTGTCCTGGGAACAGAGAAGGAAGGGTCACAGGGCAAGGCAAAAAGGGGCTGAGGATCTGGATGCAAAGGGTCATGAGTATTGTCTGCTGTCTCATGGCAGGGGAGTAAGGAGCTGCTGGAGAATTACTGCTGTGCTGTTCCAGGATTGCCTTCTGGAAGTGCAAAATGCTTGCTTTGAAGTGTGAAGTTCATATACGAGTTATATTGCTGTTACATACGTTAGCCTGCTTGAAGGCAGAGCTGGTGGACGATCACCAACAGCAGAAAAATGCTCAGTCTCCTCAGGTTCTTACCTTTTTCTTTGATTGCTTGAGCCTACCCTCTTAGCCAACCTTTTCTGAGAGAAATTGCAAATATCCTGTCAGATTTTCAGACTATCTTACTGTATCTGACAGTAGTGTTCTGTCTGTTTGAGGGTATCCAGTTGGTTGCCCAAGTTTCCCAGGAATAAACTTTCAGTTATTACATTTTTTAATTCAATACGAGGATTTTGATAGGTGCAAAATACTATGGCCATTAAATTGGAAGACCTCTGTCAAACTCTTTTTTTTTTTTTTTTTTTTTTTTTTTTTTTTGGGTTGGGGGCAGGGTGGGGGTTTGGTTTTTTTGCACATCAAGCTGGTGGGAAAAGAAATTATTGTTAGGAAGAAGAACCCTTACCAGGGATACTTAAAAATGGAATGGTGTTAAGAGGCTTTGTCGATAAGCAGTTTCAGGCTATGCTCTGAAGAACAGCTTGGATGTCCCAAAGGGTTTTTACAGCTATGTCAGTGAGTCTAATTACAGATAATACTTCTCTCTCTTAAGCCATGCCTCAGTTGGATCCTTATATCAGCGAGGCTGCTGTAACAGTAGTGTTGATATTGCTTTTTGTAATTTAGTTAATTGCCTGTGACATACATGGAAGTTACGTATGTGTGGAATGAATAAATTGCTGCTTCTCTTATCAGATGGATCTTAATAGTTTGTGGGTTCATGTTTTTTAGGGATTATGTGAGGAGCGAATTGGAATCAGGATATGAAGGGCCAATGTACTTGGAACCTCTCTCTATGAATCGTTTCATGACTGCTTTAGTAGGTAAGTGCTTTAAATATTTGTGATGCAGGAGAGAGCTCTGCCTAACTCTCTTCATTGAAACCTGTGCAGGTTTTACCTCTTGGTTTTGAATTTCTCTTATCACTTTTAGTAGCTGTGATTCTTATTAATATGCAAGAGGCATGGGAGGCTAGGTGTATCCTGCCTCGCTTTTTCTGTGTCACTGGTTGACCAATACTCCCATACTTGGAGCTTTGAAGTATTTTCTAGGTCTGTTTGTCATGCTCTGCCCTGTGTTCTCAGACTGACATCTTGGTTCAGAAGTGGATTGTCTATAATAATCTTTTGGTGGAAAGTACTGGGGAAATTTCAATAGTACCGTGTATTTGTAGTGTTTTTGTAAGTGAAAGCGTTGTACAAGTATTTATTCTTTGTTTGCTTTATAGATGAGCATTATCATTCTCTTACAGAAAAATGGTGAGAGAGATTTGTGGGTCTCTGCATGAGACTACAGGCTGGTTTTTTTTTTTTAGAGTCCCAGGGATATTTCTAATTAGAGTGAAGGAGTAACAAGTTAAAACTACATTTAAATTGTGTTTGACTAATGGCAGAGATGACTTCTCCACCTAAAAATCCCAAATAAATCCCAATCCTGAATAATTCCACTTTCTAGTCTGTTCCCTTACCCTTTGAACTTTGAAAGAGAATAACGTCAGCGTTAAGGTTGCTACACCATCCCATATGTTCTGCTGAGAGGATATTGGAATACACATACACCATGTGTATTTTAAAATTAAGCCTGAGACAAGCTTGGAAGAAAAATCTTCCTTAATTCCTTTCACTAAGATCTATGATTTTCAGATTATTGACAGATTTAGTCAGCCATATACTGCTGGCAAAACTCAGCTGCTTTCTGTTTACTTGCAGCTGCTACTGGCGGATTTAAATGGGTTTACTTCTTTACAGTATGTTAGGTCTACCAGAACACACACATCTCCTGTTTGCCTGCATCTTTATTTTCAAATATGTCATTTGTCTATGCTTTTAATATTTCTTAATAGTAATAACATTGGTATTTTTCAAGGACATTAAATCTTCTTTAGGTATCACTTCTCTCTTCTGAATTTCTATGTCTGGTCAAATGACACGAAAGTACAACTTCAGTTGTTTTTAGTTGTGTGCCTTTAGTGTGTTTCTATGAAAAAATGTTTGTAATTAGTCCTTTGAATCTCTCTAAGGGGCAATGCCAGGATCCCATGATAAAGCAGAATCCCTGAGAAAGCTGCACAAAGCAGCAGGCGGGTCTGGGCAAGAGGAGATCAGGAGGCACAGTGTCATTCAGTAACATCTAAACAGAAACTAAAACAAGAGTCAAAGCCGTTATGCTTCATCCAGGTTTTAATATAGATTAAAAAAAAATGAGAAGAAGATCATATTGTTTTTATCCAATGCAGTTTTGGGTTGTACTGGGTGTCAGAGTAAAGTGTCCTCTTAATGTACCTGTTTTTCAGAAGCAGGTGCTTGACTATACTAGCATATGTGTGTATGTTAACATACTCAATCCCCCATTATTAATTTCCCCTGCTCTTTTAAAGCTAACCTGAAAGTGTAATTTTAGTCTTCATGGAAGATGGTTTTCTTTGGGGAACACCTGTGAAAGTGGGCTATGAGGCTTGACAGTGTTTTGTATAAATACAAAATACTTTCTCAAATCTGTTACACACAAAAGTATTTATCCAGTGCGATCTGCTGTGTCTCAGTGTACGGCGCTGAACTGTGTCATCTTCACAGCAAAATGAATATACAGGTGCTTTGCTCCATCTTTTTCTTACATGTTCTGCCAGAATGTTATGCTGCAGCACTGTGGATGAAGGCACTGAGGTAATAATTGTGCTACTGATACAGCTCTGCTTCCCAAAAGTTCTGGTGAGAATTAAGGGGATGATGTACAGTACGCCAGATGTTTCCCAAATTTAATCTTTGTTAATGCTTCTATTCATTAGTGCTTTTTGAATGGGCTCTCGTAGTAATTTCTTCCCCTGCGTCTAATTCAGTCTGATGACTGTTGACTAGGGTTACTAATATGTTCCCAAGTGCTGGATGGAAGAAATAAATGTCTTTGAAGACTGCCCCTTGGATGACTGTGACACTTTATGAGCGTGTCAGCTGCGAGCGTTACAAAGCTCCGTGGTTTTGGAAGCAATGCTACCAGGAAGACTTGCTTTTTCTTAGTGCACTGTAATGGGATTATATATTAACTTTTAAGATATCCTGGTTTTCAAATAACAGTTAATGATGTAGCCAGGTAATTTGTTAACACCAGCTTTTTAAAATTGGGAATGAAATAAAGGCAGTTCCCTACAAACAGAGGCTGTACCACGTAGGCTTTCTTGTTGCACATTTTCCATTAGCTTATGAGCTGGGAGGCTTTGGCTACCTGTCAGCAATGTTTAATGTATTTGTGGAGGTTTTGCGAAGGGAAAAGAATGGACAGGAATTTAAGGCAATAGATTTCTTCCTTATTGCCTCATTCCCTAGCAGAGGAGCCTGGTGTCCTGCAGGAGGATTCCAGCTGTCGGGTGCATTAGCTGTGTCTGGCAGTTCTCACTCCACAGCATTTTAAGTTTACAGAGTGCAAACATTCAGCTGGATTTGCTGGTCTTAGCAGATAGCTAGTGTGTTAAAATCTTTTTATGATGTGGTATGTGGTACAAACTGATTTCTTCGGACTGATGCTGCTATGTTGTGTGTGGTGACTCACAGGGAGCAGCCCCACTTGGAGATAAGCTGTGACCTACTGCAGAGAGAGATTGTCTGTCCTGAACTAAGGTGCTGCTACCCCAGGTTAGAATGGGAAGTACCAGTCACTAAAAGCTCTGTTGGAGAAACTTTCAGAGCCTTCCTGAAAGGGTTGAGAATTGACAAGGTGCAGACTTCAGGAAAGAGATCAGGGCCTCCAGAGGAAGTGCTCCGTGTGTTTCCTTTGATGGTGTACAGCTCTCCTTCCCGTGACAAGTAACTTTTGATCAGTGTTTAAATGAAAAAGGTGGGAGTGTCAGGGAGTTTAGCAGGGATGGCCAGCATAGTCGGCACATGAGTGTTGGAGGAAAGCAGGTTTTGCTGTTAGATGAGATGAGACTGAACTCAGAGGTCCTGTTTCATGTTTGGAGAGCTCCAGAATCATCCCGAAGAGCACTGAATTGTTTAACGTGATGTCACAGTATTTTATGTCAGATGACGACACTTATTAAATCCTGAAGAACATATTGGATGCTGGTATTTGTATCCCTTTGAGTGTGAAGCTGGGTTGCCTTAGTTACCAGGAGTCACAGAAATCCTCACAAGCTGACTGTGCCAGGCTCCTGAATATTACAGCACAGCAGTGTGCTGGTGGTATCTTAAATAGGGTTGTAGCAACGTGTGTGTGGGCAGAGAACAACAAAGCAGAGGGAGAATGCTTCAGAGCCTGGAGTCTGTTGAACTTCTAACAAGATGAGTAGAGCAACTTTCTCTGAGGCTTATAAAACCCAGTGTGCTGATAGTGTCTGGCTGAGAGCAAGGGTGCTTGTTCTGAAAAGACATCTGCTAATTCAAAATACATCTAGCAAATTGTCAGTAGGACTTAAACTTGAAAGAGGACGGTGTGAAGGAGGAAGAAATTCCTATGCTTCAGTAGTAGAATTTAGAGGTTGCTTTCAGCTCAGTTGCAGTTATTTTGAAAGCAGAAGTCCTTTCCTAGGTAGGGAAGCTAGGCAGAATGAAAGCAAAACCCTGGTACCGCTATTCCTCCTCTCACAGCCTCCCTCCCCAACTCGTACAGAAGGGTTTACAAGGTCAGTAAGCTTATGTGAACACAGGGAGTTAGTGCTGACCTAGAGATGTTAACCGCATTGATTTTTGTTACTCTGTGTTTTGCTGAAGCTAACTCCAGGATTTGGGAAGAGTTGTGAAATGCAAACATCAGTGGAGGTAGCTCCAAAACAGCACATAAGCGCTGGGGTTTAGTACCACATGTTGTGGCTTTCGGATGAAAGCTGATGTAGATGGTGAACAAGGTGCTTTAAAATAATATCCAGTAAACTTTTTCTGTACTGCAAAATGATGACTAAGAATTGTTCGTTTCGCCCCTTTCCATTTCCTCTAAGATCAAGGGTAGAGCTTCCAGTGACTCTGAGCGCGGTTATACTGGAGTGGTCTGCTCTAGAAATACCACCTTCCAAACCTCCGGGTGTGTGGGAGAGATGTGCTTGTGCTTGTGACCCTGACAACTGTTAAGTTTTTAATTATCTGTCACTTGCAAGCTTCAGTGATAATTTTGAGTAGCAGTTGCCTGAGGGCATTATGAAATTATTGAAGTCTCAGCGGCTGATGTAGCTGTTCTCCTGTTGCTGTTCTTGGCCAGTAATTCCTCTTGACAGTATAAATATTGGCGCTCTAAAAGCCATTTGGGACCTCTGATTACTTTTTTTGTGTAGATTGGGATGAAATAATATAGCTGGGCTTCAGAAAAGCTGCTGCTGTGTGTACAGATACTGATGGGATTTAAGCTGAGCTGGGGATGTTAAGGAAAAAGGACGATGACTTGGTCAGTTATCCTCTCTGTGGTTTATTCCCAGGGCTTCATATTAATCTGAGTATGATTTTGCATATGTTTTGGGTTTACATCTCACTAATCTGTAAAGTGAAAGCGTGCACTTTGCGTAGTTAGAAAGTGGTAACTTGTGACCCAGCAAAAGCTGTGGAGGAGCCTGGTTTCATAACAGGTATGTCCTACTTAGAGCTGTCATAATATGCTGGATATTGATAACTGTGTTATGGAAAGATAACATATTAAAATACGTTTTTCCTGAAGGGGATAATCAGCTTGATTATAAAATCCCGTGTGGCGTTTGCAGGTCAGCTGGTGGTCTGTACGCTCTGCTCCTGCGTCATGAAAACAAAACAGATCTGGCTCTTCTCTGCACACATGCTCCCTCTGCTGGCACGGCTCTGCCTGGTCCCTTTGGAAACCATTGTCGTCATCAACAAATTTGCCATGATTTTCACTGGTTTGGAAGTTCTCTACTTTCTGGCATCAAATCTTCTGGTGCCCTATAACTTGGCAAAATCTGCGTACAGAGAGCTTGTCCAGGTAAGACAGAGAATGTAACAATTTTATTTTCCTTGGCTTGTGCCTTTGTTTTTTTTTTGGTTTTGTTTTTTTTTTGTTTTTGCAGGAAATAAATAAAGAACCCTGTTGACTATCTTCTGTGCAACTGTGTGTTAACTCATGCTTAGCAAACCAAATGTGTTCCTATCCCTAGCATCTTCTTTCTTTAATTTATGGTAGCTTATAACTTGTGTGGGTGAGTAGTTAAGACATCAGCCTGAATTACTCTGCTGGCTACTGGGCATGTCCACTTTGCTTGGACTTGACTTGGTCCTTCCCAAATCCAAGCTAAAAGACAAGATTGTGGCAGAATTTAATTTATTTACAGCCTCATTAAGTGAGCAAGGTAATCTTCATAGTTTAATTGTAGTAGCTGTTCATTTCAAGAAATGCCTTCTGTATGAAAAACATTTGTAGTATTAAATTTGGAGTAATGCTAAAGCTGATTTTGACTGTACTAGTCACTGAGTTAGTCAATGATTTGTAACTTGCAGACAGTGATTTGAAAGGTCTGCAGTATTTTCTTTAGAACAGCAGCATTGCTGAGACCTCTTAACAAAAGAGTTACCAGAAACAGAGAAGACTGATCTGACACGTATCCGTTTTGTCAGCACTTTGACATCTAGTATGTATTTAGTTGAAAAGACACTTTGTTAATAGTACAGAGACAGCACACCTCACGTTATTTATATAAAAATAAAATATATGTGTATATGAATCCTTCTATATATTTCAACAGGAAAAGATTAATGCTTGCTTGACTTTGACCCACTATTTCGACTCTTACCACTTGCTGCACTTTTTCAAACTGAGCCACTAGTTTTTTGCCTTCGGCCCTTCCATCCAGAAGCAGCCTGAAAACTAACTTGTTAAGCTCTTTCAAAGCTCTTTTCAAAGCTCTTCTTTGCTGTTGTATTTGTAGTGCACAAAAACTTGGCAGCAGTAGGTGTCTGGTGTGCCAAGGTGTCAGCCTGTCATGTTGATCGTTACTGTCTGGTTAGTTATTTTGTATGTAATTGCTCTTTGGAACAGGATTATCCTTCTGTGCTTGTACAGCGCCTAGCATGGTCTGATCTCATCCATAACCAGCTTGTAGATTTGCTGATTAAAAACTAATTCAAAAGCTAACTGGCAAAACTTCAGTATCCTGGTTTTCCAGTGACAATAGGAAAATCGTGCTTACTGTTTACTTAGTGTTAATGTTTGGGGTAAAACAGTTGCAACTCTGTACAGCTTGAAGACTTGCAACAAGTTGGAACCAGCACCTTCATTTTCCACGTGCATGAACACATGTAGAGTTTAGCTTCCTGAAGTCAAATTCAAATTGGATGTGGGTTTCAGAGTCGTGTATCTGGTTTTTGTGAGGTACTTTAGTGTAAAACACTTCATCTTGTTAATGTTTTAATTGCAAATACATTCTTGGGGGGGGGAAGTGGTTGTTGTTTCTTGATTTCCCCCCCCCCCCGCTTTGGTCAGACATATTCTAAATACAGCTGTTGCACGAGTTTCCTCATCTCTAGGATTTCTTGTCTCTTCCCACCCCCTCCCCAGTATTTCAAATCTTTCCATGCCAGGCTGTATTGCAGTGGTGTAACTGGGAGGAAAAAATATTCCTTGTATGTGGTCTTTGGACACTGATCACACTTTCTCCTGACTTTTATGCAGAGGGCATGAAGTTTTTTCCTTGGGCATACAGAGAAAATGGCAGAAGCTTTATAATGTGGCCCTGGATTTATAACGGAGCGTTGTATGCTGCTTTTCTAAATGCATGTGATAGAGAGTGGGTTGGCATGAAAAGTTGTGTGTGAGTGGTTTTTGCATTTTATTCGCAATATGGGAAAACAGGATTTTTGCTTTTTGAAAAGCTTGCTGTTCTTTGCCTATGTTCCTGAAACAGAACAGAAAAAAACATGGGCTTACAGTGTGTTTGTATAACTGGCTGCAGCTCCGCTATAAATCAAGCTTAGCATGCCTTCCAGAGGAGGATATTGCTGTTTTGTCTTAAATGTTTTCCTGCTTGTCTGTCCATTGCTATATCTCTGTGTAGCTGTTAGTTTTCAGTGATGCCTTCATCCTGGTGTTTGTGAGTTTGCCCCTATTTTAGGCTGGATTTGATTGCTGTTTTGATATCTGTGGCAGAACTTGGTGAATATTGGGATGTTAAACACCAGGAGTGTTTCCTGAATGCAGCACCATGGGGGAGACACCCTAACATGTGGGCCAGGGCAGCTTTTTGTGCGTGTGTGTGTGTGTTTCAGACTGTGGCTAATGGTATCATTTCCAAGCAGGTCCATAACCTTGGCTGCCTGCTTGCAGCAGAAGATGCCAGAAATACCTCACAGTTATGAATCTACGTTATGAGCGTAGCGTGACCCTTTTCCGATGTGATGGAATACTCTGCCAGGAGCTGTGTAGGATTGCTTGTGTTGGTCCCAGGCCAAGGGAGAGGCCGAGGGAGTCTCCTGAGGGCAGATGCACTTTCTTCACAAGTCTGTGTGCAAAGCTGAAAGCAGGAGCTTGGCACAGTGTCCCTGCCAGCAGCATATTGCTTGTCAATCAGCCGCAGTAGATACTGCAACAGGTCCCACAAACATAACGACCCTCATGCTTGTCATGAAAGACTAAGGCAGCTTTTTCAGCATTTTTGCTAGCTGTTACGGATTGTATGGCATTGTGGGAAGCAGATAATGAGGAAATAGTAGTTATGAGTGGTTTCATTTTGACCTTTTGTATTAAGTCCAGCTCTATCAAGTTCCAGCTTCTTGGAAATGACTGCAGTGTAGCTTAGTCCCTGCAATACAAAAGAAGTAATTCGAGCTTCAGAATCTTCTGAAATAACTCTTAAGCATGAATTTCAAAACACTTGATGGATTAGGAGTAGTCAGAAGTTTGGTACATTTGTTTTTTGAGGTACTTAAATGTAAAATGTCTGAGGTATCAAGTTTTTCCTTAAAACCAGGTCAGCAAAGCAGATTTACTGCACTGAAGTGATGTGGCTCATATTTCAGTATCCAGTGTGTGCAGTGCCTTGGCAGTAGCTGTAGAGAAAACAGCATTGCTGTGCCCTAAGCTGGGCAAAAAGGTCTGAGTGGGTTGTGCATGAATTGGAGGCATGTGCTCTCGCCCCTCTGGCTGTGAGCAGGCTGCAGTCAGCATCTCCAAGCCCGTTATTCACAAGAAGGGACATTCAGCTGGTCTAATAGTTCACTGCGCAGTCGGGTACTTGTCCCCACTGCAAGACAGACGGTGGATCAGCTGGTGATCTCTCAGTGCTGGACCTGGGCTCTCCCTTTGTCAAACTGTAGATCGGTGTACCCTCTCTTTTCCTGGGGGATGGCCAATGCCATGTGGATTATCCTCTGCTTCCTTGGGGCTTTATTGTTGTTATCAAATCACGTGTGCTGTGAACCAATAACAAACCGTGTTTTTTCTCTGTCTTGCCCAGGTGGTCGAGGTGTATGGTCTCCTGGCTCTGGGGATGTCTCTGTGGAACCAGCTGGTCGTCCCAGTTCTTTTCATGGTGTTTTGGCTTGTCTTATTTGCTCTTCAGATCTATTCCTATTTCAGCACACGGGACCAGCCTGCCTCAAGAGAGAGGCTCCTCTTCCTCTTCTTAACAAGGTAATTAAGTAGTCTGCAAATAGTTGGTTTTCTGTTTTGATTGTCTTGTGAAATTAATGTGTGTGCTCTTTTAGAAACTATATTTGTAGATCAGCTTTATTGCATTTGGATGCCAAAAAAATTTGTCCGTATTGCAGTGACCATGTATGTAAACCCTGTAAAGCTTGTCCTTAAGAGCATGGATCCCATTTAGAACAGACAGCATTAGTAAAATTGTGGGAGAGTTCCCAAAGAAAGCAGAATATTCCTTTGATGAGGGAAAAGCTATAATTAGAGTGTTGGTTCAGAAGTTGCTTTCAGTATAGAAACTGGTTTTAAGTCTGAGATTTTCAGCTGAAGTTCGGTCCAACTGGTATCTTAGTTATTATTGTATTGCTTTCCGAGCCCTGTATGTCTCATTTCATCATTCTGGGGTGGGACACATTCTTGAGTTCATTCAAGTACCCAGCTCCCAAAGTAACTTTCGTACCCAGTGGTTAATTTGTCAGAGGTGTAAAGATCTTAGAGACCAAATTCCTAAAAGCTGTGTAAAAACTGGTTGTAAGATAAAGGAGAGAGGCTGGTGTTAGTGCTGTTACTGAGAGAAGGGCAACATTTGAGAGATTCTTCTGTCTGGAACCTATGTGCCTTCACAGGCTGTTGTTTAGAAATTACAGCAACATAAGGGAGCAGGAGTGTAAGGCAGAGAGGAACTGTGTTGCAGAAGGTGAGTTTGGCAAATTAATGTAATACTGGGATGGGGAGAAAAGAGGCAATAGTGTCTGAATATGCAGGTAACAATGACGTATCCTTTAGAGACTGTACGCCATTAGTTCTGCTGTTTGGGTAGCAACTTGTTTCATTCACTTGCTCATTCCTACAGTTTTCTGATCAGACTTCTGAATTTGCCCAGTTTTTGCATGCCTCTGTGTGTGTATGTCTATCTGCCTGCGGTGTCATAGTGTAAGCTCTCAAAATTAGTTATCGTTAAGAAGAAATGCCAGAGATTTCATTGCGTGTAACACTGACTGTGTTACCTGGTTGTCAGCTAAACCATTGATGTCTGAAGTTTTCCTGCTGTTCCTGTCTGCTGCAGTTTTAATTTTGTTTTACAGGAGTGCATTCAGCAGTTAGTAGAGATGGGGAAAGGTATATTTTTCTTAGTAAATAAGTTGAGTTTATTCCTATACTGAAATTGTTAGACTTCCCCTCTTCATGGCAAAACAGGGAGCTTGCTTTGCAGACTTGCATGGGCTTGGTTCACGAGTGAATGAATACCACCTGATCTCTGAAGTTCTTCCTACAACTGCAAAAATACAGAAAAACTATGCAAATGTTCTCAGTGTTTACACCATCACAGTAAAAAAATAATCAACATTTATTCATCTTAAAAACACAAACTTGAGTAGTACCACTAACAACATCTTACCTCTTAGGAAGGAGCTGAAATACCTCGTCAGGCTGGTGAATAATGTGGTGTTGGCTGCTTAACAAAATGGAAGAAAAAATGTGCTCTTCCACAAGAGAAAGTAACTTCTGCATCTGTGCCCTTCAAGTTTAAGAAGGGTACTGAAATTACTCTGATAAAAATGGGATGGGCATCAGGCAGAAAAGGCAGATTCTTGATTTCTGATCAATTAGTTTTGCCTCAAAATAAATTTTCTTCAAATATCTTACAGAAATAGCTGTTTTAAAGATTGTTTGTTACTACCTTGACCATCAGGAACATTTAAAAGCTTTCTCAGCCGTGCTGGGCTTTGTAGGCAGAATTTGAAGGCTTACCAGAAGCACTGCAAATAGTGTATGTAAACACATCAACATTTTCTGCTTTGAATTGCTTTCAAAGGAGGTTTTCGGTTAAAGTAGTCATTAGAAGAGACAAAGTAAATGTCTCTTGGACAAGCTTTGTTTATTTTTGAAGCATATGCTTCCTCAAAACTCCTTTGTTTTGTCAGAGCACTGGACTAGTTCACTCTTCAGTCGGTTAATTAGCATGACATGTTTTTGACCACCATAATTTCTCTCACAAGTCTCCTATCCTGGTGCGCCAGTGAAGTTTTTGGTTTTTTTTTAATGAATGGGGTTGTCAATGTGTTGCCTTGGATTATGCATGAGGATTTCCAGATGCATAATCCCTGACTGACAGCTGGTTCTTTACTGATTGTTGGGGCATACAGTGCACTGCACTTCCCTTGTTCTGGCAGCATCACTTTCCAGAAGCCCATGTATGCTCTGAGGCTTAGGCTGCTCCAAATATTGCAGTGCCAGGGTCAGCAGAAGAGCAGCCCTAAGGTAAGGGAGCTGAAGTAGCACAGCTGTTCTCAGCATCGTCAAATGTATTCTGGGGTCTCAATCTTTGGGACTTCACTGCTGTAGCAGAAGAGAGGAAGAAGCCTGCTGAGGAAGAATATTCTTCACTGTCTTATTTTGCTGCTTCTGGCTCAGCTGTTTGAAAGACAGGTGTTGCCTATCTGAACCTGATGTGAATGCTACCAAAAAGCCCCCAGTCTCCCAATGGTATTTATAATTTTGATGTTTGTTTGTACTGTTGTGGATCGGAGTGGGAAGACCCTTAGTGAATCCATCTGATTTAACTCTGTATCTGGTAGCTGGCTGAAATTTCAGCAAGTAACCTGAGTGCACTGTGGCTGTCAAATTGACTTTTGGTTGTGAAAGCCCTGTGCAAGCTGGACAGTGCCACCGTGTGGCACAGCACTGGAGAGGGACCAGAGAAATACCACTGCACAGCCCTAGCTGATGGCATCATTAGCTAGGGAGCTGAGATGAAGTTGTGTCTTGGAAAGAAATAACAGAGTACCTCTCATCTTTTTCTTCTTATAGGAGGATTCCGTTGCTGTGCAGAGCTTTTAATATTTTAATTAAACTGATCCAGTTTTACTTTGAAACCAGCTTGCAGAGTTAACAAGATGATGGGAGAGCTCATCATATTGTTTTTAATTAACGGACATTTTCTTTTTGTTTCCTTTCCCCTCTCTCCTCCCAGTATTGCAGAATGCTGTAGCACTCCATACTCACTGCTGGGCTTGGTCTTCACAGTCTCCTTTGTTGCTTTGGGAGTTCTGACTCTCTGCAAGTTTTACTTGCAGGGTTATCGAGCATTCATGAATGATCCTGCTATGAATAGGTAAGTGCCTCGTTGTGCCTAGGGTCTAAAAAGAAGCAGACAAAAAGGGATTTATGTAGAAATAGATGGGTTGCATTGTACTTTTTTGAGTTATGAACTCTTGGATATCCTTGACAGGCTTCTATTGTGATGGTCCGTGTGTGCATTTGAAGGATTTGAGGTGAAAATACAGCTTGTCACGGACCTCTTGGGAGATGGTTCATTTCTGTAACATTCAAAGCTGTTAGTTGGGATTTATAATTGCACAGTTTGATTGTCTTGGTGCTTTTATTTACATGAGTCACTGGAAAAAATTTCACATGCTTGGATAATACAAACACTTCACATTTCCATTTCCTCATTTACCCCGTAGTCATGTGTGAAACGTTACTAATCTATGAGGCTTAGAACACAGTGTTGTATGGATTACTTGTAAATTACTATGGGAAATAGCCAAAATGTAAAACCTGCCTTTTCTTAATGCTTGTCCCAATTTGTCTAATGTGAAATTGGGGTCCTAGGTATGGCACTACCTTTCTCAGTTATTCCAGCCCTTAACTCTATAGAAGGGGTTCAGACCATATGCAAACGAATATTTTACGTTTAGGATTCCAAGATGTGGACGCAAAAATGGCACAAACCTGGGTTGCCCAGGAGCGGTCTATATAAAAGCATCTTTTAGGGAAGCATGCAGGGCTGGCTGGTCTGTGCTTTGACTGCGTTACATACTAGTGCTAAAGTGTGCTCCTTGAAAGTATTATATTGTCTGAGCTTCCAAGCCAAAAGAAGTGGCTGGCTGTATTTGGTATAGGTACAGAGAGAATACACTGAAAAATGGCTAAATTGCTGATTTGCCTAAACTGGGCACCAAGTGGGGTGCTGACTGGTGCCTGGGTATAGACATAGCAGGGCTGCTTCAGGCTTGTGTAGGCAGCACTGAGGCTGGTGGGTTCCTCCTTTTAAGACACAACTTGGGTCCTTAAAATGCTTTGTGCTGGGAGGACCTTGTCATTGAGTGGTGTCTGCTGGGTTGGGTGTAGCCCACACACTGCTGGTCAGGAACAGGGTTCTGGAATCTGCTAGTTCCTAACCCCAAACACTTCAGCATTTCTGAAGACGTTCCCCTCTGTTTAAAGCCTTAGCAGGGACATCAGTAAAAGCTAAACCCAGTGACATTTAAAGGGTTGTGGCAGAAACAGACAACTTATTTCCCGAGATAGATTTTTGAACCAACATTGACACACAGAAAGACGTGATTGTTTGTTCTTTTGACTGTGTTGATCTGCAGGGGAATGACTGAAGGAGTCACACTCCTGATCCTGGCTGTGCAGACAGGTTTGATTGAGCTCCAAGTTGTTCATCGGGCATTCCTCCTCAGTATTATTCTTTTCATTGTGGTGGCATCCATACTTCAGTCGATGCTGGAAATTGCTGATCCCATTGTCTTGGCGTTGGGAGCCTCAAGGGACAAGTAAGACACTGGTTTCCTAAACTGAAAGCTACTTGGTGCTGTTTTAGGAGGTGATAAACTAGTAATTGATGGCCTGATTTGGATTTTTAGTAGCTTATAAAGTTACCCTGTCTGGTCTCTTCTGTATGCAGATTTCAAGTCTAAATTCCCTGTTTTTTCCCCTCTCTATCCTACTCCCTCAAGGGCACACAGTAATACTCCTCACTATGCTGTATGCTGGCAAACAGGGGTGACTTAGGTCACCTGCTCCCACTCAGGACTGCGTCCACCCAGCCTGTGCAAGACCATGCTGTTGTGCAGCTGCTGGATGCCCACTCTGAGTACAGCAATGTTCAGTGGTAATTTTCCCCAGCACTCAGTGCACTGTGGTCTCAGTTAAACAAATCCAGGACTGCAGTGCCTGCACTCTCCCCACCCACACTCCATTGTGTGGATTTGCAGAATTGTTTTGCTTAACCTCCTCTGCAGTTGGGTAGACTTCCCTCTAATGCAGTGCTCTCAGACACCTATTGAGGATGGGAAGTTTCTAGGGACCTTGCGTTAGATATTGTAAAATCTGTTTGTGAGGCTGTGACCCCAAAATGGTAGGGTTTACTGCCAGAAAATAAGAAGTGGAAGGCTTGCATTAGTGTACCAGATGTTTTGATCATGTGGGGTTGTTGTTAATTTGTGTTTTGAAGAGCTGTATCTGGTGTTCTTACAGTAATCTGTTAATTGTTTGTCTCTCCCCTTTCTGTAACCTGTAAGTGAAGAAATAAAAGAGAAGGTTTGTTTATGTGTAGAGAGTTTGTTTAGCTTAGGGGCTACATGTAGCCAGCCTGTTCTGCCTGCAGCAATGGTGACTTCAAATATAGTAACAGAGGGAAAGGGAGTAGAGCCAGGATATGAGCATCTGCCCAGCTTAAACAAGCGGTCTGTGATGACAGGGAGTTTTAACTCTCTCTGCCAAATCTCCCAAGCAGTTCTAAATCAACTAGAATCAGGATAAAATCCACTTCAGCTCTCACTTTCTCCCTCACCCACAGATGCAGAATTCCAGACCTCACAGTAGCGTTCTGATGTTTCTTCAGACTGTATTAAATTACCCAGTTTCTGCTGCTGTCCTGGCTCCCCAATACTGTAACTTTTTCTGTACCTCATTTCCAGAACTAAATGATGTTAAAATACAATCTGAGAAACATGTATAGGTAGTATAGTAAATTACTGGATATGCTCTGCAAGCCTTCACAAATGGGTTCGTGTAAAAAGATCAATGGTTTGTTTAGGTTGGGGAGGAGATGAGGAAGAAATAAATGACAGGAGCAGACTAAGAACTGGCGGAGATTAATGTTCTCCTTTTGTGATCCCTGAATCGGGGAATACTCTTCTAAAGGCAGCAGAGTTGGTGCCTTTAGAAGGCATGCCTCTCATCACCATCCTGGTGATGAAAAGAAATACCTTTGCTCCATGAATCTTATCAAGAAGACATAGAAGAGCTGTAATAAATATATAATCTGGAAGAACTCTGTTTATATTGAAACATGTATAAAGTTACTTGCATTTTTTTTTTTATTATTTCAATTAACTTTCATCTGAAACATTCAGCATCTTAGGTACTTAATTTGTCTAACCACTGACTTGACCCATTATGGCAGTTACTGTAGGTGAATTTTTTGCCTATAATCTTTGTCTTTGTATTGAAAACAGGAAAGGTCAGGCGAGAGGGAACTTCTCATACTGTGTGTGTTGTAGGCATGCATGCTGGGAATGAGACTGTGCCCAAGTGAAACAGAAACTCCTTTCAACAAGTTAAAGCCTTGAGCAAACATCTAATGTGTCTACATCCAGCAGTCAGCCTATTCTTATTCTGACACTCAAATCTGACTTAAAAAATAAAAACCTATTGTGTTGTTTGCAGGAGTCTGTGGAAGCACTTCCGAGCAGTCAGCCTCTGTTTGTTCTTACTCGTGTTCCCTGCGTACATGGCCTACATGATTTGTCAGTTTTTCCACATGGATTTCTGGCTGTTGATCATTATCTCCAGCAGTATTCTAACCTCTCTTCAGGTAAAAATGTTAGCCCTGTAGTAACTGTGAAGCCTTGTGTTAACTGTGATCCTGTGACTCTGCAGGGGAAATACATGATGAGAAAAGAACAGGGATGATAGAAGGGCAGAAGTACAAGATATGATATAAAAATCTCTTTATCTGTAGCTCTTTCTTTATCCTTAGCCTGTATCTGAGGCTAAGGAGCTCCTAGGGTGGGCTCAGAACACGGGTGAATGGAAGTCTGTTTCAAATTGTAAAGCCAGAAGGCTTTTGACAGCATAACTGTCATAGTAAAAGGGGTGTGTCCCCACCTCCCCTGCCCCCGAGGACTCATTTGTGTATTGTTACTTAGCTATGGCTCTTGGAAAGCAATTTGATGTTCAAAACACAGTAGTGTAAATACAGAAAATGTTTTGTACTATGAGTATTTGTTTTAACTTTTTTTTTAATTACTAAATTTATAAAATTGCCCTTCACGATGCTCAGCACTTTTGTTTAATCAACTCAGCTGTGTTCTGGACTCAGGAAAATACAGGGGAAGTACTTAGGAACAAGCTTAAATGCTTTGCAAGAAGGAGTGACTTTTATTTGTCTTGAAGTTCAGCAACAATTTTAGTACTTTGGGGCTTGCCTGCCCTCTGTCTGATTTGGGAACATTGCATGTACAGAGCTCTATGGATGGTGCTGAGTGACTTAAGCTGCAGTTCAGAATTGAATGCTGAGCTCATGGTCTTGCACTCTGTTACAGGTGCTTGGGACACTCTTCATTTATGTTTTGTTTATGGTGGAGGAGTTCAGAAAAGAACCAGTAGAAAACATGGACGATGTGATTTATTATGTGAATGGCACATACCGGCTGCTGGAATTCCTCGTTGCGCTCTGCGTGGTGGCGTATGGTGTCTCCGAAACGATCTTTGGTGAATGGACTGTGATGGGTTCTGTGATCATCTTCATTCACTCCTATTACAATGTGTGGCTGAGGGCCCAGCTGGGGTGGAAAAGTTTCCTTCTTCGCAGAGATGCTGTGAATAAGATCAAATCACTGCCTGTTGCCACAAAAGAGCAGTTGGAGCAGCACAATGATATCTGTGCCATCTGCTACCAGGTAAGAAGTGTCAAAAGATTGACTTGAATTTAAATACCTCTAGATTGTCAAGTTCAGTCTGCAACTAGTAAAATAAGTTACTTGAATTATATTTAATGGGTGATGTTATGCTCAGTAAGTTACTTGATTTACCCAGTTTTCTGCTTCGTGTAAATTGATTTGCAGTGCTGTCACAGATAGAGGTTTTTACGAATAGAGACATAGTTTGGATGTGTTTAAATTTCTTTTTTTTCTCTTTTTGAATGTGGAAGCCTGTTGGTGTGAAGGAAGGAACATTTTCTTAAGTTGCCTGTGGACTGCCCCTGTCTGCTCTGTGGCTAGTGGACCGATTAGATGTCTGGGGTGAGAGGAGAGGAATGGGATTGCAAATAATATGATCTTGCTTTTTTTGTGTCTTTCAGGATATGAAAACTGCTGTAATCACACCATGTAGCCATTTTTTTCATGCGGGTTGTCTTAAGAAATGGCTGTATGTGCAAGAAACCTGCCCTCTGTGCCACTGCCAACTTAAGAGCCCTTCACAGCTACCAGGACTGGGACCAGAGCCAGTTCAACAGCCAAATCCTAGCGCAGAGCAAAATACCAGACCTGGAGATGCAGCAGAGCCACCTGGAGCTGAACATGACCGTGAGCCAGATGCGAAAGACAGCCCTAGCGAGAGCAGTGGGCAGGCTACTGATGGACAGGACAGCCTGGAGGCCTCTGCGGGGATGGAGGGGTCTCAGGATGTGGACAGTGACACAAGCCCCTGTGTGGCCAGCCAGGGAGCAGCTTGTGCTGCAGAACTAATTTCAGCCCCAGAGAGGTGCCCCTCTCAAGACCCGGGGGTTTGTGTCCAGCTCTAAGGTGACAGAGGATGACATGGGAACAAATGCATTACGGAGATCCAAGTTTGACTCAGAAGAAAAACCCGTCCTTCCGCAGCTGTGAAAGAAGTTTAGCTATTAATGCTGGTCAAAATGTAGTCTCCCATGCTGATTTTTGTGGGCTGCTTTGGTAGTGGTAACTCCAGTGAGATGTAGTAGAAATGACTCCAGAAGCTCTCTGAACTGTGGGCATAGGAAGGATGTCTGGAAATAAATTGCAGTGAAACGAGTGTTTTCAAGACGTAGGTGAGGGATAAGAGGAACGAGAGGTCTGTGAGAGGTTGTAGGCAGATGGACAGAACGCTAGCTTTTGCTTTGGTCAGGAAGAGGGTATCGCATACAGCCGTGTCCCAGGGTACCCGAGAGGCGTTAAATGCAGCGAGTTGCTGGTCTCTGACTGAGGTGCAGCTTTAGTTGCTGACAAAATTTTTTATGGCACATAAGCAAAAATCAAAGATATAACAGCAGTGATTGTACTAGAAGACAGAAGCACTCTTAATACGTCATGTGTATGCTTTGGGTGTTCTTGGTGGGGCAATTGCATTTGAATTCATGTAATCTATAGTGACTCTTGACTTTTATGACAGAGTCTTCAATATTTTGATGTATATGAAACTTTTGCTAATAATGGGCACAGTCTGGGCTGCATGAAGTAAACTAAAGCTCTAATGAACACTTTGACCTCTGCCACCATGTGCAGGAGGAAAGTGGGATGAGTTTTAGGGAACAGATAGAGGCCTTGCAGTACTGTGCTGTGTAATGTTCAATGCAGCTGAATTAAAACAGTATTAAACTCTGGCGATATTTGCACTTTGGGAATGAGTACATTATTGTGTATGATCAGACTCCGCAAATGCCACTTTTAAAGCTGTTAATAGGTTTGCACCTTTTTTGTTTGACAAGGACATGTCCATACTTAAATTTTTACATGCATCATGGCTTCAAGTAGAACTAGGGACTAGGGTGGGGAAATAGGTGGGAGTAGGGGGGCAGGCAATTTTTTTATGTGAATTTTGATATGAAGAGAAATTAGTCACTTATTTATACGATAGGCTTGACTCAAGTGTTTTTCAAAGTCAGTATTCCTAATGTGAAATGTGATACTATTTTATTTTTAGTAGTAAATTTGGATGTAGACTGACAGACATAGCTGAATGTCTTAATAAATTACATTTGAAGATTTTTACACCTGGTTATGTGATTCTTGTACTGCAATTCCATGAATTAAGTTTGCGTTGAGAGGCTCTTCTGCAGTAGTAACTCTATTCCCCTTGGAGATCAGTGGAATTTCTGTGCTTTGTTCCCCATTTCCATTTCAATGCTGTGTGTCCTGGTACCACCTGTCATCCTCTGGTCCTTGCCACCAGATCTTCACCAGTACAGACAGAGCAGGAGCAGAACACTGAGGCACGTGTGGTCCTGGAGGCCATGTGGGCTGCCTGCTGCTGTGGAGCCCCACGCAAAACCCAAACCTTTATCGTTCTCACGCGACAGGACAGGAATATCAGTTACACCATCCTTTGGTTCTGTATCTCAGTTTTGTTTTCTTGCATGCTGATCAGAAATAGGTTTACCATGTGTTTCACTGATCATTGCAAAGCTTTTATTAACAGCTGGGTGTGTTTGGTGGGAAGAAACAATTTGTGAGAAGTGTTTTCTTGAACTCTACACTCCTGCTAATCAGTGTCTGGGTCCTGTTCTTCCTTGCCTGCATTTCTGTGGAACTGAATTGTTCTCAAAAAGATGTTTTGTATTTGTCCAAGCTTTTAATTACATAATTTAGCCTGTTTCCATTCTAGACACACTTAGAAGTCTGTGGAGGCAGGAAATTAAGAATTTCTGAGCAGCACTATTGTGGGGTGCTCTTTGGTATTGTGAAACAAAGACTGCCCCTCAATTCACAGAATATGTTCTCGAAGGATACTCTGTTAAACCCTGCTTGCTGTCCGTGGGTGTGCAAAGGTGACCCCTGAAGTTCCTCACACCAGCAGTGGGGAGATTTTCCTTTGTGTAAGATCACCTTGCTTCCACGGCAGGGAGCAAGTGGTACCCCAGGTGACTGGGGATGGGAGGTGGGAGGAACTTGGCTTGGTCAGTCTTGTGAAATGAAGGCTGGAGGGGTTGTGACTGGTGTAAATGTACCTCAGGGTGAATGCAAAGAAGGGAGGAGAGGAACTTGTGCTCATCTGCAGTATTCACATGGGGGCAGCAGGGCACAAGGGAATCGTGGGGGTCATCAACTCCAGTTCATTGCTGTCCCACACAGTGTGTCACATCACCACTTTCATAAATACAGGAAGTGGTGTTGAAGAGGTAACAAAAAAGTAAGGTTTGCCTTCACTGCTTATGCCAAGAAACTGTTTCTCAGCCTGGCTGATATCTTGGCAGTGAACCTTTTAATTTCTACCCTGAATTATTCATAGCTAATTGGTGATGCAAAAGGTAGAGGAAAGGACTATGGATTTACACCAACATCGGTAAGAGGTAAGTGCACACTGGCCCACAGTAGATTCGACAAATGCACTGTCTGCCAGGGCTGCGGGTCATAAATGTGGATGTGGCATTGGAACGGAGCCTGGCAGACCAGAAAGGTATGTGCTGGCTTCTAGGAGAGACGATCCTGCAAGATTCCCACTGGAGTGAACCAAAAGCAACTACTCAGTGCTGAAGGTGCTCAAAGATGTGGAGGCTCAGGCAGTCTTGGTGGAGTTCTGCATCCTGGCAAGAGGGGCACGCTGAGATGAAAACATCTCTGATGCACCTCTTTTAGTGTAAGAAGGATATTTCCAAGAGGAAGAGGAGAGAGAGGAGAGGCTGCTAGCTTGGAGAGGTCATAGAACAGGGCTTTTCTTGAAAGATGGGAGTTACCTTCATTAAGTGTCAACACCATTACAAATTGTTGTCAGAGCAAGCCAAGGTGCACTGTGTACATTGATGCAGGGTTCATGAAGCAGAGCTAACCGGTGAGTAAAATCTGCTGGACTAGAAAGTTCTCAAGGGGGATGTGTGTGTGTTCATTTTTGCTTCATTTTTTCCAACTCAAAAATGCTGACAAAATACCATTTTAAAAAAAAACAACAAAAACTGGGGACAGCCAGCTCTAGAAGGATATTAAAAATAACCCTACAAGGAATGGGGGTGGGTGAGGAATAAATACTGATAAGCCCAGCAGGCTCTATCTTATGGGTCAGGAAGTTCAGGGATGAAGTGAGAACTGCCAAAACTCATGCCAAGTTAGATCTTGCAGAAAAAATAAACTGCATAACTTGAAGGGGAAGAGGAGAAAAAGAGGGAAGGCTGCTATGGGGGAGCAGGGAGGTATGGAATGAAATGAACCTTCTGGCTTGGCGCTCTGTGGAGCATCTGGGTAAACGCTCCTGACCTCTGAGCTTTGTCCACTGCAGAACTCCTTCTTGGACACTGCTTGCTTTGAGTAGATTTTCTTTTTTCTCTGCAGCTGTGCATGAGTAAATGGGAAAAAAAATGCTTTTGAGTGTTTATGATCAGGGTATAACTGTAGGCTGAGGCTTGAAATCATTTTCATGTGGACTCCTTGCGATGGTGGCGTGATTGACGAACATTTGGACTCAAGAAGATGCTTCCAGCTAAGTGATATAATGGGAACAGTTGGGAATTTTATGGCTGGTTGGTGTGATGGTGTGTGTCTAGTCAGTCCTATGGAGTATCCCAGCGCTGCTGATTTAAAGTCCATTGCTCTGGGCTCAGGGAAATGTATTTAAACAAGGTGAGATGACTCCATGAGAAGAGCAAACAAGTCTGTGGCTGGGAATTTCAGCTGAAAGCCTTGGTTTGAGTTGCACTGTGCTCACCTCCCTTGGCTTTTGGCTATTTTGCAGCAGAAGAATGTTTCCTTCCTTGTTCCTAGTGAAGCACTCATTTGATGCTAAGGCAGAGGGTTCTTGAAATGCACAAGTGTGGGAAAACCTCTTCATTCCGAGTTCCCTTCTTTCCTGATTAATTTTAAATTCAATTTCTAAGTTACTTCAATTATTTTTCTAAAATAGACCAGTTTGTGCTTAAACTATCTGAATGTTTGAGAACAAACTTGTAGCATTTTTCCTAACTGGCAGGGACAGTTAAGGAGTTTGGTTTCAGTTATTATTATTAGCAAATAAGATCTAAAATACAAGAAAGATTATATCAGTGTCTAAAAAAAAAAAAAATCCTTGGGAAGGCGAACTGTCTGTTTGAAGCATGTTATGTTGTTGGGAAGCCAGCTGCTTTCACAATCAAAGTAACCAAATTAGAGTGAAACTGATGCTGCTGGGTTTTGTTTGGGACAGGAGAGCAAACAGTAAGAAGCTGCGAGGTTTGAAGCAGGCAGGATGGCACAGCACGGCACAGTAACTGCAGGCTGGAAGTTCTCAAGAAGGAACGGTCCCTGGATCACTGCTGGTCTGTGCTGCTCTGCGGAGGGCTCTGGAGGCCACTAGTGGATTGGTGCTGGCTTTTTTCCTCCTGCATGTTAAATTTGTATGAAGACATCTTTAAATAGTTTTCCAGCACTACTTCTCACTCTCTGCAGTGCCTGGAGCTGTTGCGTGTTAGCTCAGTCTGTCCTTTAAGGATTTTCCCATTCGAAGTCTTGCCTGTGATGTCGCCCCACAAAAACCTTTGTGGCAAAGATTGACAGATACATTTCCCTGCTAATCTCTTTGGCTTTGCTTGCACTAATAAAGGTGTCAGCAAATGCCATTTTCAACTCAGTTTTTCTTAGTGTTACAATACGGAGTTTAGAAATTAACTGGTCCCCATGTTTGATGTGCATGTTCAATCCCATTAAGGATCACAGTTCACACCCTGAAGATAGCAGTTTTCTTTCGACAGTGCCTATTTCTTCTAACTCTGGCTGTTTTACTTACCCGCATCCTGCTGGAGCCCAGTGCTGGAGGTGTGCTGACTTCTCTCCCTGGTGCAGCTCAGCGCTGCGGCACTGGGCGCTGGCTGTGCCTGGGAACGCCTCGTGCTGATGGGGAGACTCTGGCCAGGGAAATTCCAGCTGTTTTCGTAGAGGAATTCATGATTCAATTGACAAACCACTCAGCAAATGTATTTTGTGGCTCTAAGGTATTGATTATTCTCTTGGAAACAAACACTGTCTTTTAGAGAAAAAGGTAGTCTGCGAAACTTGGTGACGTCTCTACAACTTGGAGTATATTAAACAATGCTAAGAGAGTGTATCTGGCACACATATAAACCTAAAGATGACTGTATTGGTTAAAGAGAGAAGATGTAAAAGAAAAACAGTCTATATGTATAAGCAACCAATCCAATTTAAAAATAAAAAAATATTTCAATGTGTTACAGCTAATTAGACATGATTCTTCCCAGTGGTTGCCATTTCCTGGAGGCTTATAATCCAGATCCTTAAATAAATCTGGTAGCTCAAACTCTCTCGGCTAATACAACAGCCAAAGACCAGACGATCTGCAGAATTTTGCAGCAACAGATGTGAAAAGCCTAGGACTGCAGTGTGGATAAATGACTTAATTCTTAGGAATTTAAAATGTAAAACTCACTTAATTGGATCAAAATAATCAATTGAACAGGTATCTGGTATTTATAAATGAAATTATATACAGTTTCTTAATTGACCATAGTCTTGAGCTTTCTTTAAATTGATTGTTCACTTCTAGCTTGGGGAAAAAATGCCAGCTGGAATGCAGAGGGATTAAGTTTTATTTATTTTCCTTGCTAAGAGCCACATCGTGCAATTTAAAAGGAAATGTCCTTGAAAGATGGGTTCCTTTGTAAACTGTTTCAGCCCTTGTTTGTTTTCAGATGGAAATTAATTTCTCAAAGGCCCTCCGTGTTAGAAAGTGCGTGTTGATAAGTAAAGAAAAATGAAAAATTGGAACCTGCTAAGATACATCTTGTTTTCAAGATAAAAATCTTTGCATGCCTGTGGTTGAGTTTTGAGTAGAGCCAATGTGGTCGTCCTGCTGGAAAAAAGGCTGGTAATGATCTTCATTTGCACAGGTGGCAGGAAACAATCAGTGGGAGAACCTCAAGCCCAACTGTTGAACATTACTAGAATTCTTCATTATACTTCGATGTGCTTAAATATTAAGTACTGCGGAAGATGCAGCCAAGTGTTCTGGGTGCTGAGCTCCGTGGGTGCAGCTGAGGGCTCTGCTCTGTGCATGTTCCTGTGTCCGGCTGT